CCTGCTGATGAAAGGGGATAGTCCTGGGCCTGCCTTCTTCCCTGTTGCCTATTTTCTTATCGCTTTGAACTGTCACTGGTATTGACTTGTATCGAACTGATTTTATTAACCAACCTGTCAGAAAAGTAACTTGGCAAAACAAACAAAAAGAGAGGACAGCCTATGTTAATTTAGCGAGTTGAATTGTCTCAGCTTGGTTTTGCGAAGAGCCAGGCATAAAACAAAGGGGAAGGGTTGGACCGTGCGGTCATGGCTAGTGAGCAAGGGTAGATGCACATATTGGAAGAGGGACTAGTGGCACAAGGTATTGGATTGACTTGGCAAAATGTCTCTTCACCTTCAGGCTCTCTAGAGTTGGAGAATGAGAATCAGTTGTATCCTGTCAGGTGTTTTTAAGCTCAGTTCCTGAGGGAATAAAGCTGTTGCTGCAACTACATAGCTGGGATAAACAGTTGAAGATAGTGCTCTGGTCTTGCTTTCCTGCTCTGGAGGCCCTGAGCTGCTTATCTTCAGGTCTTTGTAGTACTTCCTGAACTTGCAGTTCTCTAGAAGATCATTACACCAGTCTGAGAAATATTATTCTAGACTAGGGCCTTGCTTGTTACGGTTCTTTATTACACCATTCGTGAGGACTAGAGTAGTGCAAAGGTGATCTTTAATGAAAACAAAGCAAAACAAAAAAACCCACCCCAATCTGGTCCTTGCCCTGCCACCTTCTCCCCAGTTTACTGTGGGAAACTCTTGACAAGCAGTAAGTGCGCTTTTGCTTTTCCTGCTTTCAGAAGAGCCACAGTATCAAATTTTACCCAAGACACTGTAGCTGAACTGTCTCTTTGTAATGGAAAAAGCCTGAAAACTCAGAAGTTGTGAAAATAGCTTTTCTGTCTTATGCTTAGATTGTGTAAATCAATATGGAATAGCTCGAGATGATCTCTACAGTGGTTCTCAGGTGTTTTTGCAAGAATGATCGTTCTTGCTTCTTTTTGTTTCTCATTGACAGTCCTCTTTAGTCAAAGTTGTAACTGAAAACCCTACAGGAATCAACTGCATACGATTTACCATGTTTTGCAGACTCCAGTACAGGAATAACTGGCTTGTGTTGATATCTGTTTTATATGCATTAGTTAGATGTTTTCATATGAACTTTAAATATTGCTGAGCCTAAACTTATAGACACATTGTCAGTAATTAATTCTATTTATTTCATTTTTACTTTATATGTAGTTAATTTTATTGTACATCCTCAATGGTTATTTTGAAAATACTGTTCATGCTATGTAAGTAGATGTGTAGTCAGTTCTATAATAATTATTGTTCTTTATTCTATTTTCTTTGGTACAGTTTTGATGTTTTTTATTTATAGTTATTTCTATTATGTTATACTGCAATCAGATATAGTATTGAACTATTAAGGACATACACTTTTTAAGAGAGCCTCATGGGACAAAAAATGTAATAGCTACATTTTATAGATAAATTTAAGTGTGTTTAGGTGATTTGCCAAACACGTTAAGAAGAATGTGTGACCAAGGGAGCATAACCCGTTTTTCTTCATGTCCAAATCTTGTACTTTAATTATACAGCCAACCCTTAACCCCCCCCCCCCCCCGTTTTTCCAAGTACTTCAGATATTTGTTACAGAAATTAAGCCCTTAAATATTGTTTTTAAATGTTGGGCATCTGTTGTAGGAAAATAGTCCAGTAAATGTTTTGTGTTGTTGAAGTGCTGGACTCTGTATTTTAATACTGTATTTCTTTTACCAAACTGTTCTATGTTTCAGTCGTACTGCTTTTCTCTTTGTGTATGTTTTGATTTTTGCTGTAAACATGAGATAATCTGTTTGTTTAAGACCTAGTTTAATTAAAATTTGGTTTTCTATTTATAGTTGAACTATATTTGAGTGTATTAGTCTCTCACCCTTTGATTCAGCTCAGTGAGTGGTATATTTAGAAAGATTTTTTTTTTTAATTAAATAAGAGATTTGACTATCCTGAATAGCCAAGGAAGAAAAAGTAGGATAGTCTCATTATTTGAAATCAACAATAGGATAAATAGGTGCATAAAACTTGTTAGAAATTCATGCATCAGGCAGGCTTATTTTTCATGCTATATTTGGAAAAAAGTGGACATGTGCAGAAACTGTGAGTACAATTAGCGTCAAGCAGATAAATCCAGCTCTAATCCTGTTTACGCTCTACATCAGACAGATGTGCTGAGATTGATTTAGACAAGCCCTTGGCTTGTAGTAATTTTTTTTTAAGTGCCATATATTCTGTTTTTGGTAGATCTTTGTTAAATGTTAAGTGCTGTTAGTTTTACTCAATCCTAACGCCTGTAACCTACTTTATGCAGGTTCCTGCTCTGCTCTCATGATGACAGGGCAGCCTGGCAGAAGAGATTATCTTTATTCCTTGTAATTAAATTGACTTTTTTTCAGAAGATACAACAATGGGAAGTGGGTACTGAATTAAATAAATAGCATGATATCTAATAGATGTATACTTAAATCTCTTGCAAGAACAGATGGTACCCAATATCTTTCTAAGTAATGTGAGAGGACAGTTAATGTCCTGAAACAGCTAGCAATAACCAATATGATACTAATGAACCAATAGGTTTTTTGAAGTTTAAAAAAGTGTCTAGTCCAATCTATACTTTAGTTTAAAGTAAACTTGGTTATTCTGTATTGGAAATACTTTACAGATATAGGCAATGACTTAGTTTCTTCATGTCAGTTTTTATACAATTAACGTTAACGGTGGTCGGTCTTAGTGAAAATGAAAGATAAAAATGCGTAAGAGATCTGTAGGTTGGGTTCAGCTTTAGTTAGAATTGGCTGTCCTGATCTACTAGCTAGTTCAATGTTTCCTGTCCAGTTTAAAACTTGAGGATAAGGCTTTTGTACGATTCAGTATTCCTATAGTTTATATGCTTTCTCATAGCTATATCTGAAAATACGTGCTCCAGTAGAACAATGAGAATTGATCACTGTTTTTGAAAGTATAATACTTTCTAATAAGTGTATTTTAATTTGCAAAAATATTGATGTGCATGTGAGCAATGCAAGAATTTAACAAATACAGAGTAAGAGGTAGGTTTACAAGCAAGTAAAATCATAGCATTAAAGAAAAAACAAGAGAAGCCTGAGCTGACTTAGGGTTAAATGTCACTTCATGGAAGCTAGTTGGGGGTGTTGAGGTACAGAATATTTTAGGTCTTTCATTTTACTTGATTTGCAGAACAACATGGCTAGTGTTTGTAATCTGTTTGTGGTTCTCGTGCGTAACAGTAGCACAATAGAATTTGTGATGTACACAGCAAAGCTAATAGATTAATGCAAAACATTGCTTATTTTAAAATATATTTAAAAAGCAAACCCAGTTAACATGGGTATTAGGTGAATAAATGGGGAATAAATGCTGCAGACTTTACTGCTTTTATAGAACAGTCTTTGTTATATTTCAGTTGTGTTTTTGCGTTTACCCAAGTTCTTAAAATGTTCAGTTTGCATGCTGGTATTTTTCATGTTCTGTATGTGTGGTTATTTCTGGAAAAGATAAGCAGACCCTCTTAAAAATGCTTTTTTAAAAATTAAAACAGGTCATAAAGATATTAAACTACATATGTAGTCCTAGATAAGTGATAAAGGATATCTCTCAGCTTTTCATTTAAGGTATATAAAGACTACTCCTAAATATTTCTAGAATAGAAATAGGAAAAAAAGTTTGGGGGGAAAAATCAAGATCTCAGATTTGGTAAATGTCAGTATTAAGATTGTCTGTACAATGTCTGTTCACCCTTTGAACCTTGCAAAATGATAGTTTAAATGTAATTATTCTATCTTTTTTTTTCCCCTTGGTCTGCTGATTTCATTCAATATAGCTCATTGAAAATACTTTTATACTGCTAATTACAGTATTTTAAGCTTAATTTTGGGGTCTTTTTCTTTTGTGGGTTGCCCCCTGTTTATTTGCTGTGCACTTTTGAAAACCTGCTCTAAGGACAATTTCGCATGTGTTCTGGTTCTGGCATCTCTGTATAGCTCAGTGCTCCACAAATATTTACTTGTCACAGTATTTCCATTAGGTATGGATTGTTTTTTGCCCAATTTTATACCTTAGTAGCGGAGAAATGGAAAAATTAATATGGCAAAATGTAACACATTTGGAAAAACACGTGGGAAATGCAGTCATGTCATGCTTCTACCTGCAGTAGGTTATTGGGGGTGAAATAGGAAAAGGACCAAAATGGGTCAGTCAAGGGTTGCTGGAGAGGCAACACGGACTGGGCTGTAGCTCCCTGAGCGCTGCTGAGCTGCGCTCCCCCAGGAGCTCCTGGTCCAAGCATGATCACCGCCTAGTCCTGGCTCGGGAGAGGAGGCTGAGAACTGCTGCTGTCAAACTGTTATGAGAATCGATGCAGGCTGCTTTTCCTGCTCAGATGAGGGCAGGAAACTTTCTGAAGCCTGAAACTTAACGTGCTGTACTGGAAAAGGTGATGTATTTTGCAGCCTTACTCATGCGGTGCTGTCTGTCTTCTCCAGGAAGAACTAAAATCTTTTGCAGCTTCTCCCTGGAACTTCAATGCTGCCCGTAGTAAATATTCATCAGGCAGAATCTGTTATGGCTTTTGCTGTTGAGAAAGCGGTTGGCTGAGCCGTTGTTAGATTTGGAAAAGGTTTCTGCCTTTTTCTTGCCTTGGGCTGCAGAGACCTTTCTTTGTTGGTCTAGCTTGTTGTATCTGCTGTAATTACATAGAAAAGAGAGGAACTTTTCTCTTGGTGTCCAGGAGAACATGTGGTACCTCCAGGAATAATGACTTCTGTCTTTTGCTGTGGCTTTCTGATTGCGTTTGCGTTAGAGGAATCAAGTGTCTTGCAGCCTGAGGGAGCAGAAAAGGAGAAGCCGGTACTGCAATAGTTCAATCAGTACATCTCCAAGAGGCAGGCAGGACCAGTGTCATTAAAGTGATAGCATTAGCAGCCACAGGGTCTCTGTGTGCGTATGAGAGCCCCGAGATTTTAAAACAAAACAAAAACTCCCTCAAAACAAAAAGCCACCTATAACCTTCATTTAATATTCCAGCCTGACACAACTCTCTTGCCCTCCCCTGGGTTGAGGGTCTTCAGCTGTCACAAGAACTTGAGGCTGTTTTTTGCTTAATTTTTTTCTATAATAAAGTCATTATTTGTAAATGAAAGATAAGATCGGTGACACTTTTTTTTAATCCCTGATAAGCTATTTTGTAATATCCAGACTTATTGCAGTAGATGAAGTTATGCTAATTAACAAAACAAATTTGGCATATAGTCAGCAAGGGTCATAGCACGTTTTCTGATCTCTGCAAGCTATGATTTAGGAAAACACTGAATAACTTGATTTTTTTTTTTTTTTAAATGCAAAGTGGTTCACTCCTCTCAGTACGTATGAGAGTACATTTCTTAGTTATTTGAGTATCAAAAAAGGGGGTAAATAGCTTATATGAAATCATGTTGTTTGTGTAGCTGGATTGTGTACCTAAATAATAGAAAATTGGTAAAATACAAGACCAGTGATTGATGCTAGTGATGTTCAATAAACCGCAACCTAGATAGGAGTAGGTGCAGTGAGTGAAGCAACAGATGAAGCTATTAAAATAACAGTTTTTTCTACAATGTTACTCCTAATCATGTTGATAACTTTTTTTTTCTCTCCCCACAGGTGATTCTGTTACAAGCTTACAGGTTAAAGAGGAAATTATTGAAATGAAAGATGTTTTTTCAGTAAAACTGAAACGTCGTCGTTTTGTAGGCCAGAAAAAAGGTGGCACTTTGTTGGGTATCACAATTTTTAAATGCTTGAATAAAGAAGAAAATAAACTGACGGACTGTGCTATCCATTTACATAACTTTAGTGAAGATCATTGCCATTCATGGTTTAGATGTCTGAAGGAAATTTTGAATGGTAAGTATTCAGTTGGGATTGATTTAATTATTATGGTTTCAGACTTGTTTCTGTTGGCTATTCCAAGAGTTGAATGAAGCTTAAAAACACTTTGCCTGCAAAATAAAGCACAAATATGGTACTAAAGATGTAAATGACATTACTGGGAAGTGTTCTTTACTACTAAAGTCCTGCATGGTAAACTAAAATTTAGGAAAGTGACAACAGTAAATTGACTAATGCATTTGTAAAAATTAAACAAGTTAATGCTATGTTTTGGAATTGCTCCAGCACTGCAAAAAAAAAAAAAAGTAGCTTACTGTAAGAGTCTTCTGAGAAATCTATTTCTTAAAGAAATAAAATATATTGGTCTCTTCACTCAGAATTATAGCACAACTAAAGATACTGCAGTTTGTCCCTAAAGAGCCCCAAAGACTTTCTGGAGCTCCCACTGGAAAGCCACACCGAATTCTTTAAGAGGCTAATGGGAGAGGCTTTCCTCTTCATAAATTCACAGGTGGAAGTGCTCTTTGACTCTCTAGGACTCTTACGATCTCTCTTACCTAAGCAAGTAGACAGCTGTGTCAGTCACCTAAAGTGGACTCTGCACAGAAGGTAATTAATTAAAGAGGGGAAAAGCAAATAACAGTCACAATCAGTGGGGGAGAAAAAAAATGACAGTTCCTGTTCTTTAGGTTTGTAAACTTGTTCTGCACTTCTGTTATGACAGCCCTTTCAGAATTCCCTACTGAGGGAAGGAATGAGGGTGGGCAGTGCGTGCTTGCCCTTCTAAGGGTGAGGACGTGGGAAAAGCAGAAGAGTACAAGAGACTCAAAATGCTCTTGGTAAAAATAATCGGATTACAAGATACTAAAATGTGGAGTCTCTGTGGAAAGTATGTTTTGAGGGACCGTGGTTACTGCAAAGTTACTTTTGGTCAGTAGTTCCATAGGCGGTCAGGAGATCAGTAAGAACTTTATTCTCGTTATTATCACTATGTTAAGTGCTTTTCCTGTCGAGAAGTTCTAGCAGCAAGCTTGCATACGCAGAACCATGTTGCCGTTGGGAGGCCGGGGCTGTCCTTCCCGGGAAGGATTTGTCCTGAGGATTCTTTAAGGTGCTACTGGAAACGTGTTATTAGTGGGAAGGAGCCTTGGGGGTGAGGTAAAGGAGTTACTACTTCTGTTAAATAATAGTCGTTACTGACTTGATACCTCGTTAGAACAACAGTAACATAATTGAATTTTTATTAAGTACTGTTGTAGCTTCAGTGTTTATCAGTTCAAGACTTTGGCTGTAATCTCAGACTTTTCTGTAGGTGTTAAAAGCGGGTTATTAGATATATGTAGTGAGTGTTTGCTGAAACACATTGACGTAAGGAAATTAGAGATGTGGCAAATCATCCAAGCGTATACACCCATTAGATTTATCATGGTGCACGCTAACAGTGAAAAGAAGGCAACAATGTTTTTTGTGTGTACTTTTTATACTTTGTGTGTGATATCTGTGGAGGACAAAGCTTGCGTATTTCTGTTCAAAAAAAGTACTTAAGCTATCTCTGCTAATTAATTTTTCTTCCTTTTTGGAGTCATAGGAAAAATAAGTATAACTTGATATCAAGTATATTGATACTAGCTAGTGAGAGAGGCAATACATTATCTTTAAAAAAATCTTTCTGTGTTTGTGTAGGTTAATAATAGTTTCAGGGTGCTGTATTAACCACAGTAGTTCCCCCCTCATAGAAGTTGTATCAAATTTTAAGAAAGTTTCCTGTTTAAAAACAAAGAAACAAAATCAAAAGAATTCCTCTTCACTGCAACTTGATACCACCAGTTTTGGAAAGACACCGAATATGGTGCATTAGTGATTTTAAAACAAAAAGCAAAACAGTCTGATATATCTCCAAAATGTCTCTGTTGCAGATCATGATAAATGAGTTTGTTTACTGCAGAAGAAAAACAATCCCTTTTGCCATAGACTGTTAAAACTCCAGCTGAATTGTTAATATAACCAAGATTACAGAATACAAATCTTGCACATCTGTAATGTAAAGCAACAACACTTTCGGTAGTGATTTATACTGTACTTCCATTTAAGTTACTTTGCCAAAAGCAGATATTAGAGGAAGTAAAATGTTAATGGTGGATGCTTATATTTGTTTGCTTACAGTTTACTTCGGATTTTCCAAGTAAAAATGTGTATTCAAAAAAAGCCTTCCCTCACCGCTTTTGAAAGGCTTTATGTCTAAATATCTAAATCTGTGGAAGTGCCAAGATTCTTGCAGATCGCCAGCTACCCATGAAGGCAAGGACATTTGCATGAGGAGCAAATGTCTGTTTTGTTCCCAGATTACCCTCCATCCATCAGGAGCAGTGATACCATATGTTCACGGAAAAAAGCTGCAGTATCTCCTGCTCAGGTTGCCTTGACTTCAAGGTGCAGTCTGTCTTTCCTTGCTTTCTAATTGAAATCCACTTGAACCCGAAAAAAGCGTTCGGTGTAACGTGTCTGTTTCTAGTTCTGCCTTCAGTTTTATCTTTCTCCAGAAGTCAAACCTTGTGCGGATTTTTCTTGATCTCTGAAGAGTACCTTTTTATTCTCCTCCTTTCCTTTTTACTTCAGGAGTCATCAGGACTCAGAATATAACCCTCCCCC